CAATAAATATGGCATTAAAAGATAATATAGAATATTTAAAATATAAAACCTAAATTAACGGGCTAAATTATGCCACAGAAAGAAGTTTCTTCATAGTTTCTTTTAAAAATAGAAACATCACACCTAACAGTTTTCAAATGACTCAATTTTCACAAAGCACATTCAGTAATATCCTTAATCACTAAGCAAGTAAAAAGTATTTGTGAGTGTAGGTCAGAGAATTTTAAATTGTCAGCCTATGATCAACTCTTTGCTTTGACTTTACCCCCTACAAAAAAGAAGAGATGGGGTTAGGAGACAATGTAGAGAGATAAGAATGAGAATCCTCTCTTCATGTTCATTCTTCAGGTTCAGAGACCATTATGTCAATAACAGTGTTTTCACTGGAAAACATTAAGATTTTTTACAAAATGGAAAAGCTGCTGGTGTATTTTAAATTTGTTCAACTTACTGCTGAAAAAACACCAAGTCTCAGAGGATAATCAGGCATTTTACCCAAATGAGAACATCTGAATCACAGCAGGAATGGTCAAATTACAGAGCTATCCATTCTCAAGCTTCAGGGCATAGACCAAACACCAGCTGGATAACAGAAGATATTTTCCCAATGGGATAGCATGTGTATAATATCATTGATTACATTCAGATACACATTCCCCTTTAAAGATACCTCACTGATGAGTTTAAAGTACAGACACCATAGCCAAGTAGTACATTATAAGGGAAATCTTCAAATGCCTACTGAAACATTTTAGAGAAATGAATGTGGGAAAAATAATAAAATCTCAGAGACTATACAGCAGAATATCATAGAAGTTAACAATGACCATTTGGGCTATTTGTCACACAGAGAAACTGACACCATTGAACTCCATATTCACTCAACGAATGAATGAACCAAGGAACAAACTTCCATATGCCTGAATTCAAACCCGAGTCACCAATATCTGACCTTGAGTACTTACTCAAGTGTCTTTTCTTATCCTCAAGTTATTAACCTGCAGAATGATGATTCTTATTACAGGGAACTGGGCCAAGTAATGCATATAAATAAACAAACTCGCAGCCTGGAAGAGGGTGAATTCTCAGTAAATGACATTTATTTTAAGAGCTCTCCTAGGAGCGAGTATTTAGCTAAGTCTTGAAAAATAGATCTAACAAATCCCTGCAAGATACTTCATAATAGTTCAGAACTTTGCATACTGACTGTACAGGAATCTACTCTGCAGTGAATCTATATTGTGTAGAGGTCTGCATAGCCAACACTATTGCACCACCAGCCTTCCCCTGAGAAACATCCTTTCCTTTGAACTAAGCACAAACTCTCTGCTAAGAAGCAGGCCTCTCACCATAGATAGTGCATGCTTTGATGAAGTCCAAACTCAATTCCTCACTTCCTGGGCCCACAGTCACTGTGATTTGCAGCCAATTGCATACAAAAATCAAGAAAAGATGGTAACTTACAATTGTAGTGACACTTCTTGCTAACAGTTCCTCAGTAATTAACTACTTGGTGTAAGCAAATTCTCTTGGGACCCATAAATTAGATGTGTCCTGCAAAGTACAGATGACATCCCAACCACGCTTGAAGAAAGTCTATGCCTGTAAACAGACAACATATACCTTTGGGTGTTCAGGTCTCAACTAGTTAACAGCTAGGTTAAAGGTAAGCTGCGAGGCATTTATGATTAACATGGCTTTAACTAACAATGATTTTTCCTCTACAGGCTGATCAACTACTATTGTCATTGCAACAAAAAAGGTGTTGGAAAGATCATCTCACTTATTGCACTATTTCTCCAAGAATAAGACTGCAGAACGTCTATTTTTTTTCTAGGCAACACAGTGATTCTAAATTATAAATGTTGTTGCATTTAATCAAGTTACCTTTTCTGGGAGATGGAAGTTTGGAAAATTTTCTTAGAATTTGGAAATAAGTTTTATCACGACAGCATGAATCACTCAGCAAAAGTCAGCCATGTACTATTTCAAATAAATTACTACTTTAGCATGTCACTTGATTCAATGATTTTCCTTTCTTTTCTTCCCCATCACCATATCAACAGTTTTGCAGATAGTGTCGTCTCTAGCGATGTCTAGGGAGAAGACAGAGATGAAGGTTGCTTAATACGTAAGGGTTCACACTGGAATACACCCCCCCACACACACACACACTCACCACCACCTCACCCCTCGCAAGAAGAAACAGAAAGGAACCCCCATGCTGGAAGCTGTGATCGATGTTCAGGGCATGTGACATTGAATAATGTTGTTTGCAGCCAAACACTGAGATTCCGCAGCCATACAGTGATTCATTCAGAGCGAGTTACTAAACGGCAGGCACTCAGAATAGGCAAACTCGTCCTGCCTCAACTGAACCCACGTTCCAGTTGGCCTTGGGGAGCTCAGCCAGGCGCGAGGTGAGACCACAGCTTGGGAGGCAGAGACAGGGACGACAGAGGGGGAGCACTGGGCCTGAAATGAAGGTGGCATCAATTCCCACTAATGCCGAGCCTTCACACTGGTTACCTCGCTAAATCTCAGGCCACGCACGCCAGGAAGTCGCTATTATTAACCCCCCTTTGGACACGGGGGCCTTGGACGAAGCAGAAGGAGGCTTAGAGGCTCTCGCCACGGCTCCCGCCAGCGCCGTCAGGCTCCAGGTGGGGGCGCTCCAGGCTCCGGCTTCAGCGGCCGGGGTGGGGGCCGGCAGCGGAGAAGGGGCTTCCTGAGCTGCGCAGCTCTCGCCCAGGGTGTCGCCAAACGCTCCAGGCCGACGAGAAGCATCCGCCCCCTCTGCCAGCCCACCGGCGGCGGGGAGGAGGTTCTCACGCCCCCTGATCCTGGGTGACTCTATCGCAGGTCTAAAGGAAGCAGGGTGACGAATGAGTCATCCCGCCTAATTCCTCCTTCCTGGGCCCCCCTATCCTCCGCACGCCGGGCCCCTCCCGAGATCCTACAGCCGTCAGCGAGCAAGAGAGCGAAGAATCTGCTCCTCCTCAGACTTCTCCACCAAACCCCCTGTGGCCTGCGGCTGTGATGAGACAGACAGGATGTGTGGCCAATGACAACTCCGCTCTCTCACCCGCCGTCCAATGATCCTCGGCTCCTGGGTGGGGCGGGGCTAGGAGGGCGGAGGGGGCGGGCCCTGGCCAGCTCTCAGCGCTGTGGCTCCGCAGCTCACACAGAGAGCGCGTCGCAGGGAGCCGGCGCCAGGACTACGCGGGAAGGCACCTCCTCCGCCGCCGCTGCCGCTGGCCAAGGTGCTGGACGCGACAGGCCCGTCGGCTACCCCAGCAGCCCAGGTATCCGCGGCTGCACCTGCTGCAGCCTCGCTTCCAGCCAGGTTCCCATGGAAGAGATGGAGGAAGAGTTGAAATGCCCCGTGTGTGGCTCCTTCTACCGGGAGCCCATCATCCTGCCCTGCTCCCACAATCTGTGTCAGGCGTGCGCCCGCAACATCCTGGTGCAGACCCCGGAGTCGGAGCCCCCTCAGAGCCGTCGGGCCTCGGGCTCTGGGGTCTCCGACTATGACTACCTAGATCTGGACAAGATGAGCCTGTACAGCGAGGCGGACAGCGGCTACGGCTCCTACGGGGGCTTCGCCAGCGCCCCTACCACCCCATGCCAGAAGTCCCCCAACGGAGTCCGCGTGTTTCCCCCAGCCATGCCGCCACCGCCCACCCACCTGTCTCCGGCCCTGGCCCCAGTGCCCCGCAACTCCTGTATCACCTGTCCCCAGTGTCACCGCAGCCTCATCCTGGACGACCGGGGGCTCCGCGGCTTCCCCAAAAACCGCGTCTTGGAAGGGGTCATTGACCGCTACCAGCAGAGCAAAGCCGCGGCCCTCAAGTGCCAGCTGTGTGAGAAGGCGCCCAAGGAGGCCACCGTCATGTGCGAACAGTGCGATGTCTTCTACTGCGACCCGTGCCGCCTGCGCTGTCACCCGCCCCGAGGGCCGCTGGCCAAGCACCGCCTGGTGCCCCCGGCCCAGGGCCGCGTGAGCCGGAGGCTGAGCCCGCGCAAGGTCTCCACCTGCACCGACCACGAGCTGGAGAACCACAGCATGTACTGCGTGCAGTGCAAGATGCCCGTGTGCTACCAGTGCCTGGAGGAGGGGAAACACTCCAGCCACGAGGTCAAGGCCTTGGGGGCCATGTGGAAACTGCACAAGGTGAGTCCCGAGAAAGCCCACCCCAGACTCCCGCCCCTCGGATCCTCCCGCTCTGGCGCAAACGGCCCCTGTTTTGCTCACAGCGCCTCCCAGCGGGGCGCGATGAAGGTGACTCCGACGTGGCCTTGCCCATCTGGTGCACTGCAGAAGGCTCGGGGCAGCTCAGAGTGCACACGGGGAAGTTGCTGTCCCCAGAGAGTTGCTGCGGGCCTGCCTCCGAGGGGGTTTCCTGGGCCGCGCTGCCTGTGAGCTGCGCGCAGGGCGCCCCCTCCGCGCCGCGGGTTTGCAGCCCCTGCCCTCGGCCAGAGTGGCACCGCGCTGCGTCGCTGGGCAGAGCCCCGCCAGTGCCAAAGGCTGCCGGGCAAGCTTCAGAGCAGGACCGGCCAAGAGCCCCGGGAGGGGCGGGGGTGGTCCTTCTCGCCGCGGGGGTGGTGGAGAGGCCGCGGGTGAAATGCTGCTGAGCCCACGCTGTGCCAGATCGGGCGCCCAGGCGGGAGAGAATTCGGTCCTGGTGCCTAGTGCCGGAGAAGAAGAGGGACGGTAGGGGGGGAAGGGAAAAAAAAAAAAAATCCTTCGGTCGCCATGGCAACGCGGGGCGGGCTGGGGCTTGACCCTCCCACAGCGGGACCTGAGGCTGGAGTGTCAAGAACCAGAGTTTTCTATGCGGTCGGTCGTCCACTGGTAGTCAAGCAGGAGCATCTCCCAGGGAAACCCCTTCCTCCCGGTCACCCTCCAGCCCATTTCTCCAGGATTCAAGCCTTGTTGTCTTTTGGTAGTTTCACGGGCAAACTTTGGGACACCTGTTATTAGATTATCCTTCCCCGTCTCTTCTGACGGTGCCTCCGCCATAGCTAGTCAGGAAGAGTCCCTTGAACAAGTGAGACCATTCCGCTTCTCTGAGTGTCTCTCAGACTGTCTAGAGATCGGCCTCTCGGATCTTGCATGACCTATTCCTTTGGCCTCGTAGACCTCAAAGCTTCCCACCCACCCCCCGGCTCTAGCCACATGGTGTGTGTTGCTGTTGCTCAGTCAACACCAGGCACCTTCCCACCCTAGGGACTTTGTATATGAGTTCACTCGGCCTGAAACTTTCCCAGTTCAAGATCCCAGTGGTTCACTCACTGGCCCCCTTCCAATTTCTGCTCAGAAGTCACCTTTAGAGTGACACTTTCCTAACCGTAATGGTCGGCACTCTCCTCAGACACCTCCAGTTCCCTCCATTTTTTTTCCAGTAGCGCTTATCACTCTCTGGCATGATTACATGCCATATGTTATGTGTTAATTGTTGTATTATTTCTGTATTTATCTATTACCCTTCTCGTCACACACATAGGAAAATAAGCTTCATGCTGAAAGAGGTTGTTTGGATATTATGCTCACGCTGCTCAGAAAGAAGGGAACCACTTTGCAAAGATATGCTTAAATTTGACTTTTGCTTTTTAAATGATCCACCTAGGTGGAGGTGTCTAGGGCAGGGGCTTAGGATTATTGGAGAGAAGTTTTCTTTCCATCCAAGGGTTGCATCCAAGGATGAGGCAGGGCAAGAAAGGTGGTGGGAGGCCTCAGCTGGGGTCCCATGCTTACTTTCCCAGCATTCCTTGGAGACTGGAAAGGCGGCCTTTGAGAGATGTGTTAAGGCTAGAACAGTGATAATTTATTCAGAGCAATAAAAGGGCAAGTATCACCATTTTCAACAATCATTGGGGGTTTTCTCGATTCTGTGTTCCAACCGAATGTGATCCGTGTTTACAGTGTTTTGTATTCTCACATAACAACCTGTTAAACCACATGACCGCTGATCAAGATTTAATTTGGCACAAATCTGAACACGACTGGGCACACACTTCTGTTTTTAAAACATTTCAGTTTATATTTTCTAAAGTGACGTTTAATTTTGAAACTTCAGAACTTTACTTCACAGCCATGTTTTTTTTCGTACTATGTTTCACTCTAGAACTAAGTACAGTCCATGCTGAATTGCCCTATAATGTATCTGAGAAATCAAGCACCCTGTTGAGCCAAACAACTTACAGATACAGGCTAATGAAGATGGTCAAACCTCAGCATCACTTTTCTGTGAAGAAGAGCCTATACCTTATCCATTACTAACAAAAGAAATGTTTAAATCGCTGTCAAGCCCCACGTACAGTTGAAATGTGAAATCATTTGTTTTAATTGATAATGGAAGTGGGTAGACACTATGGTGCTGACTGGGTGTTGAGTTGGATATAATCAATGAATAATGTTAAAATCTGAGACATGGAATAAGATGACTAGAAGATCATTTGTTCCCTGATCTTCTGCACAGTTTTCCCAAAACACTAAATAGGTATAATTTTTGTCCAGTTAATATCACGATAATTAAACTGCCTAGAATAACTAAGGCAGAATGATGACAGATTTTTAACATTTAGTTGTCATCTGTTAGATGAACAACAAACATTACTCCCCAACTTTATTTTCCTAGTAAGATAGTTAATGTATTAACATGCAGTGTCCCCGGACAGCCTGTGATTTAGTTAATTATACCTTTATCTCTGCAAAAGCTCTTGAGCCAGGATTTCTATGCCTTTCAAAACATAAAAGAACAAAGAATTATGCTTAGTTCTCCCAAAGTTGGGCAGTTGTCTATGAGACTTAAAAGTTTTCATTAATAGTCTACCCTCTCAGTCACTTCTCCTGATAAAGAAAATGCTATGAATAAGTATTTCCCCCAGGCATAAGTGTCTTACCCATTTGAAACAAAATGGCTGAAGTTTATTTTTAAGTAATTTTTAAAAGAAGTGGTTAAAATTTATTAGTTGTCAGTTTAAATTTCTTTCAGATGTTTGTGCCCTTCAGTATTCATGAAAAATAATAGTATATGAAGTAGCCTTTTAAGTCAAATATCTGGTAATAGGTTTTATTTATTATCAACACTTATTATATTCCTTTATCTAGCTCAGCCTGATATAAAAATTGCAACACAAAATATTATTTTGTAGATATTTTGAAATAGGCAATTTGAACCACTATTATTACTTTGTAATTTTAAGCAGTTCACATTTCCAGATCCTAACATGATTGTCCTTGAATTCCTGGCATGTTTATCAATCACTGAATCAGTAAAGATTTGTAATCATTATTTTGTGTTTAAGAAAATATTTTCTTTTCTATCCTCACATCTGACTATTCATTCTAAATTTGCCTCAAATTTTTTTATCTTCTTTTTAAAAAAGATTTTAAATTAAATTATGCTTTCATTCCCAAAGAATTCTGGAAAAAATATCCACTTAATGGTATAGCAACATCTCCTTAAGTATTTGTGTAGCAAAACATACAATGTCACTAAAATGATATTCAGTAGATGTATATATATGTATATACTATATACATATACAGTAAATACTATATACATATACAGCAAATGCATTATAACCCAATGTTCCTGTGGTCAATGAAATAGGTCCCTTATGTTCATGGTTGGTTTTTTTTTTCTTTTAGTTTACTTGTAGTGCAATCAGAACATTTTGTGTGCATTAGGAACATTCTTACAGATCTTAAGGAGAATGTGACAGAGAAGAGAATTGTTTTCTTTTGTACTGAGACACAGTGAAAGGGATGGGTGGCAGGAGTCCCACTTTCCAGAACTGACACTGCTACTTACACCCTGAAAACTTTCAGTGAGTCGTATACCTCCCTGTGTTCCTCACCCCCAAGGATGTAAAGGAGTTAAAACTAAAAGTATTTTGGAAAAAATAGTTTAAGAGGTTTTAATTTGCCAATTTCACTTTGGTACAACTAGGAACTGTTTGTGTGAGACAGAAGTCTTATGTCTTACTATTCAACAAAGACTGTGAAAAATCTCATCCCCCAATTTGCTCCTGTCAG